ACCATATACCGTACTTTTGGTACTTCAAAAATGGTACCAAAAGCATGATACTTCAAGGTATTGATTTTACATTGGCGCTGAATGACATCACAACGCGGGTTGGGGTGTTTTGTACCCAATTTGAAAAATGGCTGTAGCAGGGATGGACAATGTGCGATATTAATACCAACATCACATGTAGTGCACATCCAATTCTTATATCACTAGTCAGCTAGATTAAGATCAGGCTTTTTCTTACCTTCAGTTTGGTATTGATATTATAGCTTAGGGAGTTTACTTTTACTCTGTCATAGGGGAAAAAAACCTTGCAAGTTTTTTGCAATTTTAATGATTATTCCTTTTCAGGATTATCTAGTATATGTTTAAAAATCAGTTTAAAGTTTACCGCCACTACTTTTGCATGAGCGCTGCATGTGTTCTCTGAGGCGATCACTTTCGTCCTTGCCGTTTAAATCACTCCTAGACGGGTTAGTGAGAAATTTGTTGAATTCCTTCTTTGTTTCATAAATTCCCAAATATTTATTACAACAAAATCACATTGCAATATTTGAAAAAATTCCAATACCCTGCTTTCATAGTATATTATACAAAATACTTTATTTCTTGTTATGCTATCCTGATTTTGCTGTATCTCGTCTTCTCACCAGATTGCAATTAAAGCTTGCATCACTTAATTTGTCCACGCATCCATTATTATTAATTTTATTTTTTACATATGTAATGTGTAATAGATCACCTGGAAAAAGCTCAATACTGACAAGCTGTAACGAGCCATATCGCCACCTATCGTAGCGGAGTCAGACGTACTTCAGTCAATAAATCGATTCCCCTCCCGTGCATGTATACTGGGACAAGGACAGTAGTCCGATTAAATGGCATAATCCAGCTATAACCGTAGCTCGACTTAGCTGTGCATTTAAACATAGTTAGTTCTTCTTTTTTAAAGTAAACCAGTGTTGTTTTTCTAGCCACATTACCTTCCCCCCATTTCTGACGCACATGCCGTGACTCGCAGCCTTGCCGCGCGGCGCTTGGTGAGCTGGGCGTGTGCCCAGGGGTTTGCAGGTTCTGAATCTCGGCTGCGTTGAGTTGGGTGGAAAACGAGCCCGGTGAAGTCGGGCACAGAAGACCGTGTCTGTACGCCGGCCTGGAAAACCACAGATGAATAATACATAGGTGTATGTGTGTGTCTGTCTGTGTGTGTTTGAGTGTCTGAGATAGGGAGTCGAGCTCCAGCTTGTGCCCCCCTCATCTGACCCAAAACATCAGAGGAAAACCCAGTCTCTCACTTCCACTGCATTCCTGCTTTTGCTTGGCAGGAAATCTGACGCCCGGCCAATCAGCCCAGGATATGCCGGGAATCCTAATGGGTTCCCCCATTTCTCTTACCTCCTGGCTCTTGTTATAGACGGCCTGGCTGATGGATGCCTTTTTCTCCTTTTCGGTATCGGGGCACTCGTGGCAACACAATCACCAAGCCTACCGGCAGAAAATCACGCACACTTATGAATCTGGCAGCACCTGACGATCAGGGATCGAGTCCAGCAGGGACTGTCAGTCTGAAAGCTCCGTGGGAGATTGAGTTTGGTTTTGTGCTCTTGCCACTGTAACTTTATAGTTTTTTAACCTGTTTAGTAAAGAGAACACGTCCTCTCAGGGAAGGCCCCGAACTCGTGACTCAGAAAGAAAAACATTGTTCGGGGTCATGGTGTTTTGCACTGCTGCTGTGCTGGCCGGTCCTGACCCGACGGGCGACCAAACAGAAGATGCAGTGTTAGCGTGGTGACATGGGGGTGGTGCTGCCCCCAGCCCCCCAAAGAACCGCACAACGGCCGGCTCTCATGCCGCCGCAGGCCACTGTGGTTCCACCAGCAACGGCTGAGATTTTTTGCAGCATGCTGGGGGAGTGATCATCGCATGGGTAAATTATGGCAGCTTTCTAGAAGAGTGCGGAGACTCAGTGCAAATGAGCCAAAATTATAGTTGAAGGGCTGTCGCATGATGGTGGTCCAAGGTTTCTCATTCGCTGGTAGAGTTTGACACCAACAGGGGTAAATGGGCAAAACTGTGGATTGTAGGTCCCGGCTTCAAGACCGACTATGAAGCTCTCTGTCCCTTTCACCATAACCGTGTTCTGGTTCGTTTGGGGTGGTCAAGTACACTTTACTTGAGGGGCTTGTTTTCATTGGGTGACCCGAGCCTGAAGGGTTCACCTGGAGAGCTTGTCCAGTGAAAATGCTGATCAGGTTATAAATAGGACACAGCAGCTGCTTCTGCCATCCTGGTCAGCGTGCAGATTAGCCAGGGATAACTGGAGCATAGGTGGGAGGAGCTGGGATCCATGGTTTGAGGTTGACTCACTCCTCTCCAACAAGGCCTGCCGTCTTGTCCTCCAGTCGGAGGTTTGGAGTTCAGTTTTCTGAAGCGCTTGCTTGTCCTGTTGGGGCTGAGATAGTCCAGGTTTCATTCTTGAGTAGGAGAATGTGGGAAAGGAGCACTGGTGTCTTCCTTTCTACACTCATTCTTGGAAAACCGTGAAAGTCATCTTGAACAGCACTGTGGGCAGGTTGTGATGCATTTCCTAATAAGTTCCAGTTCTTTTTGGTTTGTCACAACTGATCAGATCAGCCCTGTTGCAATAGTTCACAGTTAGTTTGCTCTTAAATGAACAACCTGGCAAAGGGCTTGTTTCTGATGGGTCCTCCTGTTGCTCTGAGGGCATTTTTGGACCATGGTTTGGCTGCAGATTTGTGTGCTCTCTGGGCTGTTTATGGTCTCGTGTGGCTGGTGGGAGGCTTTGTGGTGTGTGGAGCGCGTTTACGTAAAGGCAACGATTGTGCAAGACAGCCTCCTCTCGAAAAACCGGGTGGACTCCCAGCCGGGGCAGGGCTTGGCTGTGGGTATGACTGACTCATGTCCTCAGAGATCCCTCTCCTGCTCATACCTGTCGGCAGCGCTAAGCTGGTGTGTGCTTCAGCCTGCCCTGCTCTGACACAGCTTGCTGTGTGGTATTATCCTAGAGTTACCTTCCCCAACATTACCAACCTGTCACTTTGGATCCTGCTCTTGATTGGTCTCTCGGTGATCTCTGGATTAGTGGCTGCCATGTTGCTTGATCAGCTCTGTTTAACTGGCCTTCGTTTTAGACGTGCTTATTGTTTTTGTTGGGTCATGAACTTCTGATTAAAGGCTGCCAGGTGCCAGTTTTGGGGGAATTCTGCTGATTAAATTCTTTTTGTAAGCAGGGAGCCTTAGGGCGCAATTCCACAACAGACCAGGAGGGGCCTTTTTTTTCCTTTTTCTTTTTTTGCTGTGTGTTTTGTCAACCTTCTGTCAAAGGTCATAATACAAGGAAAGGAGAAAAGCAGGGTAGAGCTCTCGGGATTTTGAGGGAGGTGCTGAAGGGGCAGCTGTTGTGAAAGGCCAGTTTTACGATACGCTCAACAAATTGGAGCTCACCTGCTCAGTGTAATACCTCCAATGCAGCGTATGTGTGTTAGCTCACCAAGGAGTGGGGTGTTTGCTGTGTAATCTCCCTCGGAGCCGTCAAACAGAAAGCCCCCCTCCTGAAAAGGAGTTCTTTTCCCCCGTCTCATGGGTTGTCATTGCCATATTTATTCTGACGGCAAAAGAAGGATGTCAGACGGTTGACACGCTCAGTGCCGGTTTGCACTGTTAACGGTGATTACTTGTGAGTTGGAAGATGGTTTTTGAAAGTGAAGAATCCTTTTGTGAATTGGTGAATTTGCGTTGTCAATGGCCATGGTCTGCCCAGTAACTTTACTGTGGGTGAGTCCTTGTTTGGAAGCTTGGGTTGGTGTCACAGCTTCTTGGCACTCGTGGTTCTGTCCATGTGCTTGTGGGTCTCTATGTTCTGTCTGGCTGCCCCCAGCACCCCAGCAGGTCCGTCCAGCTTGTGGGTGGTCTCTGTTCCAGCGGCCCTCTGCTCTTCCTCACCTGAAAACGCAGGTCCCACTTCAAACGGCTTCTCACTGATCCACTTATCTCTCTCTCTCTCTCTCTCTCTCTCTCTCTGAAATGGAGCCCCTAAGAAGGGGGGTGTTCTGGAGGAATTTCTACAGTGGGCTCGGCTACCCCCTGGCTCACCTTGTGCAGGATTGTACCCTGGATGAGGCACCTGTGTAGCACCTTGCCTTTTTTTCTTTTTGCGGTAGAGCGTCAGGGCACTCTGGGATCGTGTGTGAGCATGGTAGTGGGTCCTGTGTTGAAATGATGCCCGAAAGGGATAAATACACCCATGCACCTCTGGAGTTGACACGCTCTCATATTGTGAAGAGCTGCACCACTGACAAGCTCAGACAGGATTGTGTGGGGAACAGGAAATTTGTTTTCTGAGGAACAGGAAATGGGTTTGGGAGGAACAGGAATAGGAGTTGAACATGATTTTGAGAACAACAGGCGTAGAGAAGTTGTCTCGGGGGGAACAGGAACCGGAGAGGGTATGGTTTTGAAAATGGGTTTGGGAGGAGCGGAGACGAGGAACAGAAGTGTAAGCTTTCGGGACTCTGACTGTTGCATTTGTATGGTTACTGGATGACCTGCCCTAAACCCCCTTGAATCACTTTTGCCTTGATATATGTCTCTGCTAAAGCTAGAGGTAGAGCCACCTCTACATTCCCCGGTGTATGGATGTATTTCCCGGATCTGTAGCGTGGGGGTGACACGGGGGGGGGGGGGGAGAGACCCAGCATCTCACGTTCTGAGCTGCTTCTCCCGCAGCTGCTTTGGGCGCAGGGAGCTGAGAAATGCAGTGTGGAAGACTGTGACCCCAAAGTGGAATCTGAGAAAGCAGACGACGGGAGTGGCAGCACAGGGCCTTTTGCCCCCGGTTGTAGCCCCCCCCCCCCCCCCCCTCGCCCCACAGTCCCATTAAGTCTGCAGGGAAACAAGATATTCTGGTTTCTTGCAATGACATGCTGTCAAACCAAGGTTAAGGCATACCCTTATGCCCCCTCCCCCACTCTCTCTATCCCCTGCAGTGAAGCCGTTTACCACCACTGTGAAGGATATGCGGCTGCACCGGGATGACTTCGAGATGCTCAAGGTGATTGGCAGAGGGGCATTCGGAGAGGTAAGAGTCTGTGAAATCTCATGCTGACCCACTGTCTGCACCGTACATCATGAGGCTGTGATGAAGAGCCAGTTCATTTAACAGCTTACACTAGACTGAGGACTTAAGTCACATGGTTTTGAGTCCCATGGTTCCCTACCTGTCACCCCCAGCAACATGTATGTGATGGTTGAGATGACATATTCTTTCAGTATGTATGTAGAGCCAGTGGCTAATTTATCAGGTAAATCTACTTGCTGATGCAAACAACCTGCTTCCCCAGAAAGCACATCACATGACTGCAACTGAATACATACAGCCCACGGACAGGGTCAAAAGGTTCACTTATTTTTCGACTAAGCCTGAGAAACGACCAAGACACCTGATCCAAGTGCTTTTGCACGTGGTGTAATTGTTAGTGCCGCATGTGGTGGTTTCGCCGTCTCAGGAACGGCCATTCTCCGGAGATCTTCATGCAGAGTCCAGACTTTATAGAAAATGTCGTGATTAACAAAAAAAAATGGCATTTTGTGGCCGACATCTTAAGAAGAGAGGAAGTGGCCACTGGGCGCATGTATAAATATCTGAGAAATCTAACACGCTCCCGTGTTTCCATGCTCTCTAAGACGTGGGCATTGAAGCAAAGCATTGTGGGACTGGTGGGCTGCTTCTGCAGCTCTCAGGAGTTTGCAGTCAAGTGCAGTAGCACTGCGTAGTGGTGGGGGAAACGGGGAGCTACAGGAGAGCTACAGGAAAAGGTTGTTTTTATTCTTTAAGAGACAGGAAACGGATAAAATTGTGCTTCCTTCAACTGATAATATGCTTCTCGCATACATTTGTTGACAGGCGCACACTTTTAAGAGCGTTGACACAGCTGAGGGGATGTTCATTTGTGTTTAAGATCAGCATTGTCCTTTTATTATTGTTCTTAAGCCCCTCTGGCTTAGATTTAATATCCTCCTGATGAGAAGGGATGAGAGAGCATCTCTCTTTCAGCTGTGACATCTTTGCCATGTAGCAGTACGAGGGACTGACAATTAAAAAGACCCGACCATCAGAGCAGAAGCCCCACAGTCAAACTGAAATAATTTGCACCCGGGGCGCTTTGAGCCTACATGTACCACGTTTTGGTGTGCAAGTTTTTAAATTTTATTTTCTAGGAGGTTGAGGTTGTTCTTGAAGGGGTATGGGTTTCTGTGGTACAGCATTATAGGAGCGGCAGTGATGCGTCCTGGATTACGTTTTATCTTCTATGGCTCTTGTGGAAATATATGTGTTTAGTGCATGCTGGGAACTGTAGTCTTTCATGTGGATCGCTAGGGAAGCAGTTGATTTCCACAAACTGTACAAAATAGAATTTGGCAGGTAGTGCTATGGCTAATTCCAGAAGCCTATATCAGTGCATGGTGAGCAATCTGCCTTCACTGGAGCAGGTCCAGTATAGGGTGGGGCTGTTTTGATGGATGAGGCTGTGTCTCTTTAATTAGGCTGTGTCTCATTATTGTGTCTCATTAATTCACTTCTCATGAATAACGCTTTCTATGTTTCTGCCTTGTTCTGAAGCCACATCCACTGACAAGGCTCCAGACTGTGACTGTTTAGTTGTATTTCGTGACCATTTTTGGAGACGGTGCGTCTAAATTTTATAAACAGGCACAGCAGTGCGACTTTCTTATAAAACCATCATGGTATATCACGTGAAACACCCGGAGAAAGTGAGAATTTGTGTGTGTGTGAGAGAGAGAGACACAGGGAGAAGGCGCTTTCCCACCGCAGAAACTTTTTCTCAGAACCAGGAACTTCTGTTGTTTTTCCACCAGAGTAACTTGGTCCAATTTGTAATTCTTTGGAGGAGCTACTGGGGAGGAATTCACAGCGATAGCTTGCTGTTTGGTTGATTACCAGCACTGCCGCTAACATGAAAATTACACAGAAATGCAGGGGGAAAAAAGCTAATTAACGCAGCAAAAATTGAGCAGATGAAACGGGTTATTTTTGTTCCTCAGGTACATTTAATACATTATTGAGTACCCTTTTGCTTGCGCCTACATCTTCTGCATCGTAAAATTCAATCAATAACCGGTATTCGTTTGTCTAATATCTTTGGTGCCAGTGGTGAAACTTGCCAGTGCTTATTGACAAAATCACGTTACATCATTTTTTTATTCAGTGGGAAAACGAAAGATCGGTCTGCTGGCCCGATTTTGATAATGATATCTAAACGTGTCACGGTTTGCATGAACCAGGAGCTCGGTTCCTGAATTTCAGTGCCTCATGAAACACTTGTAAAACACAATAGCAGCTTGAATCATAAACTATGCAGGAACAGATGCACTGAGGGGGTAGAGGCTGATGACATACCTTATGTTTATCCTTGTAAATTTATTATGTGGTGTTTGTTTTAAAAAAAGAACCATTAATGACTTTTTTCTCTTAAGCATTACTTCACTTTGTGACTTTTTCCTTTAAAATAAAACCATTTTTTCTGTATATAATATATTTAGTGCCAAAGTATTCATTAGTAATACAGTTAAGATAGAACAATATGAATGTGTTGCATTGCATGTCGGTTGAAGTAGTGCATCTAAAATGTTCCTTAAGGAGCACCAGTGCTACTAGTAGGAAACGTTAGTCTGAATCCCCGGCTGATGGTCCCAGGCCTCTGATGTAGGTCTTCAGCAGGTCTAGTGCTTTTCATGTTCATTATGCAGCTAGGATGCCTGGATTGGCTATAGAAGCGATGGCTCTGGGTGCTGAGCCATTTACTGTGTGGGAACCAGTCTGGGTCATGAGCCAGGCGAGGAGGAAATGTGGGGGATGGTTCTGAGCACAGGGCGTTGAGGTTTGTTTAGTAATGAGGTCATTTTTTCTGGCGTGGTAACAGGGCAGGGTGGCACTGATTTGGAGAGTGAGGTTGTGTGTATGAGGAGGGTGTTACTGGGGCAGCACGTCTGGGCCTGGTTCTGCTTCACCTCCTGAGTGAACATCCTGTTCTCGACCCGTGATGAGAATGTTTCCAGTCGCTTCTACCCTTCCAGAAGACGCGGACCGTCCTACTGTATAACCACATGCGTGTGAGGAAAGCCGCGGAAGTGACGTCTCGATGAAACTCCCGCCAAATATGGACAGAGCATGAAACGGCTGCCCCCCGGATAGCCGGGCGTCACACACTGCCCACGCTGCCAGCGGTCACACGGACCCGAGAGCGGCGGACCAGGCTGGCGGTGAAGGGGGTGGAGCTCGACGCGGCTGTCCGGATAGGCCCTCAGGGGGGGGATCGTTAGTGGGCCAAGTAATTAACTTTTTGCTTGCGTTGAGCTGTGGCTTGAATGTAACACACAATTAAAATGGCATTAAGTGGGACATGATAGTCCAGGGCTACTCTGTCAAATGGGATAATCTGACTTTAATCTGACTGGCTGTTAGAACATTGTCAACCGCACACTTTCGATTAACAAAATATTAATTTAAATATTATCTGGATATTTATCATATGTTTCACCTAATACTACCTTATTTTAACTTAGTCATTACTTCCGGCACGCATGAACCAATCAACACCTAATACCTGGAACAAGTGTGTTAGTGACCAGTAGGGAGAAAAAATATATGGATGGTCTGGGGGTCCCCGAGAATTGGGTTGAGAAACATTAGTTTGCATGCTAATTGTGGTATTTCATGGGGGGGTGCTCTTCGGAACAGCAGTTAAGTTTGCAGAGTTATAGATTGCTCAAACAAATTCAGCTTATGTTGTGTATGGAGTACATTGCTCCATCAGAACAAAAAGGTTAATTAGCTAAGGCTTAATGACCACAAGTATTCAGTTACCCAAGAGGAGTTTAATAAACACGTTAGAATGACTATCTTGGTCTGCCTGCAAAAGGCTGAAACACCAAGGATTACTGTATAAATAATTACCTTAAAGAAATCAAAGCGTGCATTTCGTGTGCTACCTCAGGAGGGCAGTGCTGAGTGTCACTGTATACCACCCTCGGCTTCACTTTCCACAACCGCCTGGAGAGCCGTATGGCTGGCTGACGCGTGGTCTGTCCACTTCCACTGCGATGCAGGCCTATCGTCAGTGCCTGCTGGTCACTGTCTGCCCTGCAGGTCGGCCTCCTTTACCACGTGAGGCCTTCTGAGACTGTGCTGCCTCGGTGACGCCTGGCCCACTCCCCCTCCTCAGTCTGCCTGTCATGCTTATAGTAATCATCAGCATCATAATCGCCCTTCTCACATCTCACAGCTTATAACTGAAAGCCTGGCCCAGTGTTGCAAGGAAGAGGCTAAATGCCGGCCTGCCACTGAGGTCAGTGGCGTTATCTCTGTGTACAGGCGGATAGTTGGGCAGCCTTGATCTTCAGACAGGGGTTACACCTGGGTCACCAGCCAAATACCCCTGAAGTTTTAATGAGCACCGACAGCCAGTTTGGTACCACTGGGTCAAACATCCAATGGGATTTCTGCTCCTGGGTCCCCCCCTCCCCCCGCCCTGCAGGAGAAGGCGGTCCTAGTGTAAGCTGGGATAAAAACGTATCCGAGATCCTGCCCTTCTTAAGCTAAAACCCAGAAACGGGCGATTTGGCTTTCAAGTCACATGACCTGAGCCTTCCTCTTCCTCGCTCCCATTCTTCCAGGTTGCCGTGGTGAAGATGAAGCAGACAGAGAGGGTCTACGCCATGAAGATCCTGAACAAGTGGGACATGCTGAAGAGAGCCGAGGTAGGGGGTCCGGAACGTGGCCTGGAAATGTCCAAACGACCACAACTCTCCCCCCCAAAATACAAAAAGCTTACAATCTATAGTCTGCCTCTCACTGAAATGTAGCTGTGTGACCTGTGTCTTTGAATAGAAATAATAAATAAAAATATAGAATGTCCTGTGTTTAGCATAGCAGATTTAAATTGGGAACCATACGTATCTCAGTTTCTAAATATAAGTAGCTCCAAATT